AGCACTATATTATCTCTGCTCTGTGTACTCACAGCTGGTTCCTCAGCTGCAGTTTCAACTCAGCAAATATGATTAACAGAAGTATTTGCACAAATCTAAATTCAAATAAAAGTTTGTGACTTAGCATCACTTCTGGAGTCTACAGGCACACCTTTCAATTTAAAGTGAAAGAATCAATTTCATATAAATTAATTTATTTGCGTAACACAGTCAAGGTCAAGCAAGTAGTTTATCTGCTCAACTAAGCGAATCAGGGATGAAAGCTTCATAAAATTTAAGCTACAATTTACAAAATAAAAGGTGGGGGAAGACTAAAGAAATACTTTTTATGCTAACATTTACAGCTTGGCAGTATAGATGGAAGAATTACTTTCCAATATGCTTAGGGTTATAGCTGGATCTTTCAGTATACTGTGTATGCATCAGGCCCATAAGCTGTACAACTGGAATAGAGCAGCCACTCTTCATGATTATGTAACATCAAAAAATTGACCTAATGTTTGTATTAGAAAATCAGCTCCTAGTGCTACATATAAATGAAAGCTTTTGTTTAAAATCAAGGGTGAGTTGCTTGTACCTACAGAGAAAAGAAATTTTCCAAAACTAACATAGAGACTCAAAACCAGAGGAAAAATTTACAAAATCACTTTTAAATAGCAGTGGGTTTGACACTCACAATTAACAGCATATACTGTAATAAAAGATAATCACAATTTGAGAATAGCTAATCAAGGATGGCTACAATAAAATACAACTCTTCTTGTTGGTGGTGGGTTTTTTTAAGTCATGCTAAGTTTAGAAGCATTGAATTCTTTCCAATCTAGATAAAGTATCTATTGTGTCTTCAAAAACTCTGCTAAATGTTTTGGAGAGAGATTGTGTTGCTTTGTACACTGACAGATACAATCACTCCAAACCCAAAGTACATTATGTTCCCAAAAAGGTGAATAATTCAATCTTCCACCTTGCTAACTTATTATTACCCTGTTATTTTGAGTATGACAGAAATGTCAAGGCCTGGAAGCTTTAACACCAAGCAGGCACAAATAAACAAAAAGTAGCTGAATACAAAGTAGTACAGTACACACAACAATGTAAAATAAAAGCCCTAGGGAAATCTATCAGAAAAATCCTCAGGAAAAAACCCACCCTGCAATGCACATGCCAGTAAGCATCCTTGCATCCAAACCCAGATTCACACCAGGCAAAGAATACACACTTTTGGCTGTAAGCCATAAAAGGCTGAGCTACACCAAGACAAATAAATATAAGTAGCAACATCAATCAAAAATCAGCAAACATGGAAACTAATACTACAGACCTAAGTTCACAGCAGGAGTAAAATTTACTGTCCCTAAACTGCTTATTGCCAGCGTCCTGGTAGAGGTCACAATGCCCTGAGGTGGAATGCAAACTATTCAGTTGCTTCAGCAGTGTCTGGCAGCTTGTCTTAATCTGCTGATGGTTTTATGATAAACCATCAATCTCGACACTGACATGGTGGAGATGCACAGCTATTTTGCTCTTCTTGCTCTTCTGCTGGGCCAGCAATGTGCAAAACACAGGCAGAGAACAACTCTTCGGTGATTCCTGTTAGAAGCTCCAGAAACCACCTCAGGCTGAAGCTCTAAAACACAGACCTTAGACACACTGATGCCTCTCTGTCTTTAGGTGCCTAAATCCCTTTGATTTCAATGGGAAGTTCATGAACATCCCTGACAATCTCATCTGAGGAAGCCCAGTTCCTCACCCAGAATCAAGGTTAATTGAGATTAAAACAAATGACAGTCCAATTTGTTACCACATTCTTATTAAATTAAAACTTGCTTAGTCTAATTGCAGAATGTTACCTAATTAAAACAGAGTACTCTTGGCATCAGTGATCTAAAGTAGAAATTTACTCATGCTCATGTCACATTAAAGTGACTCTAGACACCAGGAGAGCTACTACTACGTCCTCTCCCTTTGCATGCAGAACTCTATCTGTATTCACACGATGCAGCAAATCAAGGAGTTGATTTAGCTGAAAACTAATGAGAGTAAAAAAGATCAACTTTAGCTAGATCATCTTGTCAATCTACCTCATTACACAGTTATCTGAAGCATAGCACTGCCAGAAAAGGGGAGACTGAAAGCAAAGTCATCCCCTAAAATTAATCATTAAAAAGAGAAACTTGTTAGGATTATCAAAGTTACAATTATCACCTTGGAATGTGAAAACAAACTATGATAGGTAACAACAGAAAACCAATTAAAATGAAATCATGTCCACATGAAAGTGAGGTCTCAAACAGGATTAATATGCCAATGTACTTACAACGTGCTAAAAACAATTGTAGGCATATAATCATGTCATAATTAAGAGAAGACAATGAACAGAAATTTACAAAATCTGTGACAATACATCATGGCTAGACACAGACACTGTGAAAATACAAAATAATCATTAGATGGATACAAATACATATTGCATGAGCAAAACAATTAACTTTACAATATCAAGAAGTACAAGAGCATGCCAGAAACTCCACAGTATTACTGGCAAATGAGAAGTGAAGAACATAAGAAGTGAAATAAAGGTGAACTGAAGAAACTGTGAGAGTTGGGAAATTAATACTTTCCCAAATACACAGCAAAGCAAGAATAAGTCAGAAGGGAAAAAGAAAATCTGTCCTCTCCAACTTGGACGTCAATGTACCTGTTTTCAGACTACAATAGTAAAAGACTGCAGGGGCAGAAATCTAGAAAAAGCAAGTTTCTAGCAGACATACAACAACTCTGCATATAAGCAAACCAGAGTATCTAAGCTCAGGAGTGCGGAAAAGATGTTTCAGACAGGTTTTGGAGGGAAAGGATGTGAAAAGAAAGTGGTGGGGTTTTGTGTTCAGAATGAAAGCCATTAAAATGTGAGGACTTTTTCTGAACTTTGACAGAAAATAATTAGCCAAGATTGGCTTTGTCATATCATCCAAAGGTTTCACTCAGTATTAGTCAACACCATTGCACTGTACAAGCAACACTAAAGATACTCTCAGTAAGTCTAAAATCTTGCAGATTAGGGTTACATAAATCAGTTACAATATAAAAGACAATGTGACACAATATTAAGTATTTTGATACTATTTGTAGACATTTAAGGTCAGATATTTTTTAATGCATATGGAGATAACACCATCCTTTCCAAAGGGGGTACAACACAGGCATCATCAACAACTCATTTCGATCTCACCAAACCTATTTTTATAGTGGGATTTTCAGAAAAGGCAGTGTCTTCTTGGAGAACATCAAGGAGAGTCCCACATAAGGGACAACTGAAGGACAGCAAATAATGCATCTGTGTGAGAAAAGGAGGCATGAAAATTCTGGACTCACATTACTGTCAAACAGGAACGGGCAGGGATATTGCATTATACTGGATTAAAAAATGCCAGACGAGCCAAAACTACGTCACTCTGTACACTAAATAAAGGATACTATCTGTGTTACAGGCAGCTTTTCAACTCTGCTTGCCTTTACTCTACTCAGTACAGGGAAGGCAATATACTATTGAACAGCAAAAGCTTCCACTGGGTAATTGCATTAACATACCTGGACGATCACAGCAAGTGACTGCTTTACAAAAAGTCTATCAAGCAGAATTGAAGTTACTTCTCAGCAATGAGAACAACACAGGGGCAAACATGAAAGCCACATCAAAAGGAAAAGAATGTTATGTCCCCAGAAGAGCTGCTCAAGTAGAAAGAAAGCAGATAAAGGTGCCAGGAGAAGTTCAAGGCCAGGCTGAAAAGCAATTGCTAAGATGCAAGATATGAAGTGGAACTTTTTGCTATTTAACAAGGCAATGATCTAGTTAAGACATATTGCTGGAGACATGATCTTCAGTTAGGAAAAGAGCAAAGAAATTTGCTACCACACAGGGAAAAGAAATACTCAACTACACTGACTGTTGTGAGGTATAAACCAAAACTGATATGCATCCCTTGCAGTGATATGGACCACATGCAAACTGTTTCCCCTGAATTCCCCTGGGGTCAACAGACTGCTTTGATTACACGAACTAGTAGCAAATCAAGTTTTAAAATCCTCTATTTAATGAATTTCAGCATTACAAAAAAGTCAACAAAACTCAGCATCAAAAGTAGTATAAAGTAGTACAAAAATGGTTACCTAAAAATAATGCCATGCTCCCCAAAAAGAGAAAATTAAGTCACTGAGAATATCTAACTCTAAAGATTGAGCACGGGCATAGACTAGAAAAGCAGTTAAAATAGCAGAATAAGCAAACTGAAAGGGAGCTGCAGCTGGTTCTCCAATTACTAGGTATTGTTCAAAAATGCATATTCAACTCAAAATCCCTCAGAGCATTTGTACTCTCAAAGATGATTTACAAAGTAGTTGAAAGATCTGTATTTTAAACTCCTAAAATGCAAGTTCTTCAAGTAGCTGCAAATAAATGGTTTCAAGAAGGAGGTAGAACAAAAAAAAAACAGAACAGAGGGAAGTATTAATACAGTATCTTTACAGCAATTGCTAAGAGCTATAAAACTAATCTCTCAAGTTTTCTCTACTAAAAGCCCAAATGTATTGAGGATGGTAGAACAGCTCTGTTATCAGCCTGTGGTAACTGTCCATGAGTGAATATTCACTTAGAGTGAATATGAACTCCCTGAATGACTGGTGTTATTAATGCAGACACTCAGGGAATCTTGCAAAATCAACTGCAGGGGAAAATAAGATTAAGTACAACTCTGTGCTGGTGAGGGACATATTAAAAACTCATAAATGTTTATACATGTACACAAGGCATCCTTTTCTAGGGTTTGTTTTGTTAAATTACAGTACCTATTTTTATCTTGCCTGTATGTTTAACATAGTAGAAGGCAAAAAAAAAAACTACGACTGAAAGACAGAAAATTAAAGGAGTGAAGAGTAAAGCACTAAAAAAGCCGAATGTAAGCATGATGGTCAGCAATGTTTCACAGCAATACTTTAGGAAATACCTGAGTAGATAAACAGCCCTTTCAATATCACTGAGTTCTTCATCAACTGTCAGTCTTTCTATTTCTTCTGGTGTCTGTCAAGTGTGAGATAGAGATTATGAGTTTACCATGCTTCCCTCTTTCACCATTTTAATCTCCTTAAAACAACCCCCTCCTCCCCACACATCCAGAGATAGTTCCATGAGCGATTTGATTTTATACTTCAAATCTCTAGCCAACATTTAAAATTCTATCAAATAAACCTTTCACCAGGAAAAGATGGAATGCCAGGGAAGAACAGTTCCATGCCAGGCACTATCACCGTTAAAGTATAAATAAGTCACATAGAAATTG